ACCAGACTCTCCCAGCAAGACTAACCGCCCACCATGGAACAAGTAACGGTGGAGTGGGGACGCTCAGCCTTCTCGCACGCTGTCTGGGAGGACACCCTGCTCATGGCGTAAAAGAAGGGCACACCGAGGGCACTTGGAAAACGACTTCTCTCCTTGTGGAACTCCTATTTAAACACGATGGCCTAGCTCAAATTACCCCCACTCCTCTGCAAAAACCCTACCCAACAGCCTCAAACTTAGCATCTCGGTGATTCCAGAAATCTTCATACAGTCCAGGGATCTCGGTCCGTCTCTTCTTGCCTGGAGCAAACTCCCTGAGGGCAGGAGTCCTAGCTGATCCATTTCTATTTCCAGCACCTGGCCCGGAGTCGGCCTCACAGCAAGTGCACAGACGTCTCTCCAACTGGATGTTCAGTCTGCGGACTCCAAGCTACTTTTTAGTACAAACCATGCTCCTTTATCTGCCCACCTCCTCCCTGCACGTATCACTCCTGACCCCTCTCTCCCCCGTAGGTGGTTGAATGTCAGCAAGAGACCCCCATCCACCCGAAAGCGAGGACTTCAGGAAAAGGGGCCACTTCTCAGCGCACACCAAGGGCAGTCAAGACACCGGCTTGGGGACAGAAGTTTATTCATACACAAAGAGGCACGCCAAGGGCGCCAGTCTCGGTTACAGCATGTGAAACAGTAGAAAAATCAACGAGGAAAGCAGGAAATTCAGTGAAGCTACTACAAAATGGGGCCTGTGGACTGAAAACTAGGACTTTCATTGCAAGTTTCTTTTCATAAAATTTTTACTTTATGAATTAAATACATTGAGAAACAGTGAAAATATATTTACAGTCATTTAAAATGGGCACTACCAACATATTTAATTTAAAAAAATCTTTGCTGTTTCTTTGCCTGTTTCTTTCAAAAAGAAATTTAAATAGGACTTTAGCTTTTAAAAAATACAATAAGGAAATAATTACATTCTTAATATGAAAACATTTTACAGCCTATCACCATGGTCAATCAATTCTGAATAGCTATCATTTAAAAGTTGATGTTAAAATTTAAAGTGAGTATTTCCTTTCCTGTTAGAAAATCAGAAAGATTATCTCATTAAAAATGCCTTTGGTCCCTAAGAATTATGATCTGAAGATCTCATTTTGAAAATATCTTCCATGGCTACAACTAAAAATACCCAGTAATACTTGTGCACGGTACAGTTGAGATTTTCCGGAAGACCAGAGCTGGAAGGACTTCAAGGACTCTGAGCGGAGGATGCATCTGAAGCCACCGCTTCCTGGGCGCAGCTTCCCTTCCTTTACAGACGATGAACCACCCTGATATTGGGACTCACAAATCGAGGTGGCTTTGCTTTTTCCACAGTGTATGCCACGTGTTTACGGCAGGAACATTTTGGTTTCGTTTATTTCACAGTATGAATCCAGCCCATCATGGGGATAAGGAGACAGTAACGACCAGGAAAAAATGAATTACCCTCTTTCAAACTATGTCATGAACTTGAAGTTATTCTTCCCATTCGAAAATTATTTTAGGGAAAGAGGAAGGCAATAGTTTCACATTTAAATATTGCCATGACCTTTAGGTAAGTTGCCGGGGATACTCAGAGACCTCCCGGGCTGTGCTCCCAGAAGAGGCTGTTTGAAGGGTGGCCATCTGCCTGACCGCGGGGGCCGCCTGTGAGCTCAGGGTGTCAGCCCTGCTCTGCGGCCCGAGGTGCCTTTTTGCTGGATGGGGGTCGCCGGCCCTGCTGCAGGCTGCCCATCCTTGGAAGGTGTCTAATGACATGAGTGAGGTACATGAACAGAGCACTTCACCTGGGTAGCAAAGTTCATCTGTGGGCAAAATTTACATCCCCCCAAATAGTGGGTGAGTAAGCAGCCCCTCGTGGAAAGGTCAGGTGTGGCCACAAGCAAGGGAGCTCTGCCCACAACCCCTGCGCCTCACCCTGGCTTCAGTGCTGCCCTTTGAATCCCACACACAAGCACCAAACTGTGGCCATGATGACAATGAACCTCAAACTCCTTCCTGGGGGTGGCCTCAGAGCCAAGGACCCACTTTCTGAAAGAGACTTTTCAAAAGGAGTACGTCTCCACCTTTTAGGGTAGTTCTGTCTATTTAGAAACGGCCAATAATAACTCTGGGCAGAATAAGATAAAGGGGAAGGTTAGGCCTGGCCATGCCAGGGCGCAGGTATGGAGAGGTGAGGTAGGACTGACCCAGCGCTGGGAAATGGCCTCCCGCCAGCCCCAAGGGCAAGGCTCAGGAACGCCCGGGGTGACTCAGCAGACCCACACTGGTTACCCTGCAGCCTCCGCAGCCTCTGGAAGCCAAGGGAGGGAACTGCCGGCCTTGCAGACAGATGGGCCTTGCCCTAGTTCCCCTCAGATTCTGGGAAGAGGGAGCCGTGGCCCATGCCTGTGCCCAAGTCACAGGGACCAAAATAAGCCATCTAACCTAAGAGTTGTTTCTACGAAAAAAGTTGGTAAGTGATTTAAGTACATTATAAAAATATACAAATGGAAGTTGAAGGCTGTTGACACCTTACCAAAATACAGGCAGGAGCGGAGCCCTGAAGAGTGACACTGTGGCTCAGGGTGAGAATGGAAGGAGCCCTGAGCCCCGCCCCATGGCATGGCCACCGTGTTCCTCGCCATCTGGTCAGCACCCTAGCATAGGTAGCCAGCCCCTGCAAACACGACGATCTGCTAAGTAATGGTGACACTGCAAAGAAATTGGGCTTCTCTGGGGACCCTGGCCTGCCTGTCAGGCCTCTGCCCCCCAAGCCTGGCTCCTCCAGGGACCCTGACCTGTCAGGCCTCTGCCCCCGACAACCCAGCTTCTCCAGGGACCCTGGCCTGCCTGTCGGGCTTCTTGCCCCCAGCCTGGCTTCGTTACAAAGTCAGATAGTCACACTGGCTGCTGCCACAGCACAAGGGTGCTTGTTCCTGGGGCATGTTTTGGGAGGGTGATCAAATGAGATCACTGTCAGGACTCTGGCAAGATGGCTCATGTGTCTAATATGTACAGATATAAATTAAAAACTACATTGATTGAACATATACAAATAAATAACTTATTTTGAAGTAAATGCTTTAAACTTTCTGATCAAATGCAAAATTTCAGGGGAACATCTGGCCTCAAAGGACTCCAATGTCAGGGCCCCCCTTCCAGAGCACCCATTTTGAAAGGCTCCATGGGCCACGCTGGGATTCATTAAAGTTTGCCTCCTCTTTAAAAGGCTTATGGTTGTGGAAGTGAATTACAAACCAGGGTTTTTAAACCAAATATGCGTGCTGGGAGTCTAGCACCAATTGGCTGTGCCCTAGGGCAAGTTCTTGCTGAGGCTCCAGGGCCTCCTTGCCTGGTGAGGAAGCTGGTGGGTGACAGCTGAGGACTGACACGTGGCACATGGCTCATGCTTCACCCATCAGCTTGCTGCTGCCCACCTGTGCCGGGCCAGGACCGAGATATCAGGCTGGCCACTTCCCCCTTCTTTCACTAACCACCAAGGCCGAGCACAGTTCTCGTGGGCAAAGCAGGCTGCCAATCAGAGCGGCCCCAGGGCCTCAATCTGGAGAACTGACTTGAAGGCAGCAAAACTCTATGGTGGAGGAAGCCTTCTTTCCCTTCACAGAAAATTCTGTGTGTGTGATAGCCGCGGTCCCAGCTGCCTGCGATGGTGGAAAGTCACCACCGGCGGGAACGCTCCTCTATGTCAGCACAGTGGATGGCCCTGGGGCATGTGGCAGCTGTGCCCCCCTGCCTGGATGTCCTAGCGGGAAGCTGGCGTCATGGATGCTGGTGTGATGGGCCTCCGCTGAGCAGGCTGGGAGGAAGGCGTGTCAGATGGGGAACGCCAGCTGATGGCTCAGGAACCCCAAATGCTCCTGGCAGATGGCTTTGTAATCAATTCAAGTTTCAGGCGGACTCAAATGAAGCAGCTTCCAATTCTTGTTGTACAACTTTCTTATACACGGGAGACCGCTTTCCCACTCGAGTAATCCAACATGGCCATTGCAGGCCTCGAGTGCTACGACATTAAACATGAATCCTAACTGTAAAGTCCTGCGCACCACAGGGCTGACGCCAGGATGGGCTCTGAAAGTGTCTGGAGGAAGTCAAGGAGGCTGCGTTTTCCTGCCATCTGTTCCTGTGTGTGATAAGGAGGACATGCTGGATGGTGGGCAGGAGGCTTGCACCAAGCGTAGCACCTCCGGATTCTATGCTGGGGCAGCGGGGGTCGCTGCCAGGACTGGGCTCCGTGAGTCTGCCTGCACGGGTTTCGGGGGCTGCTATTTCCTCATCAGTGGCTGCATCTTCCTGAAATGGAGAATTCCTGACAGCGGTCTCCGGGAGACCAAGAAGGTAATCTGATTTTTAATCCCAGGGGGTAGAAACCAGCCTCGACTATCAACTCAGTTTTTCTTTATGCCTTAGGCATCTGCGTTCTCCAAGAAATATTGCACATAAGGCAAGCAAGTGAAGAGGCCCTCCCTGCAGCCGCCCCACTCAGGAGAGAGGGTGCGTGGCCAGGCCCACCTCCCTGCAGCCGCCCCACTCAGGAGAGAGGGTGCGTGGCCAGGCCCACCAACACACTTGAGGTTTAACTTGACAAACTGGGGTGGGCAGGGGCAGGTGGCCCTGGAATTCCTGCCTCTTGCTCTAAGATGTTCTATGAGTGAGAAATTCCAGATCTTGCTTCCCTTTCAAAGGACCACTCCGGCCCCACGCGGCCGTAAACGTCCCATACAGTGGCGAGGAGCCAGCCCTGCCCCCAGAGGCCCCTACTGTGAGGAGCACCTGCGGCTCCGATGTGGATTAAGGGCTGGGGATGGCAGGCTGAGGGGGTGGAGGGCATACGTTAGTGAAGGATTAAACCCTCTGCTGCCCATCAAAAGCAGCACACATCATTAATGAAATAAGAAACCTCTGAAAAATCCTTAGATCTAAGAGTGACACACAATAAAAAGAGACATTTTTAAAAACGGTTAAGAAAAAGGGCAGCTTTTCATGTCTTGGTGACAAAAGCATCTGTCCAAAAAAATAATAAAAGGTAAAAAACGTTTCACAGCGCGATTTTCTCATGTCTTTACCGCTGATGCCAAGGAGGATGGGCAGGTGGGGAGGGGATGCCCGCACCCAAAGTCCACATCAGGGCTGCGTAAGCCCCTGGCCCTCCTGGTGGTGCAAGCCGAGTGTCCACGTGCCAGCCACACTCATGCCCAGAGCAGCCAGGGATCCAAACTCTTCTGCAGAAAATCCAAGGTTTCATTCAGGGCTCACGGATCCATCCACCCTCAGTCCGGGGCTGGGCTGGAATCGGTGAAAGCAATGGCTTAACTGGTTAGAAAGATGTCACTTCTCCTCACAGCACCCTTTCAAACACCTTTCCATCACTTTTGTTTTTGTTTTTTAACAAGTAAAGTTGGAAACCAGAATCTTACAAGGAAATCTTTTTTAAAGGCGCCAATATGCAGCAGAAAGAGCACAAGAGGGCCTGGGCGAGAGGCGCTGGCCTTGGTGCTCAGTCCTGAAGCCTCTGGCGTCGTGCAGCGGAGGCTGCTCTAGGTAGGATTCTGCCGTCACACAGATGAGGACACAGGCAAGGGGGTGTGCAGTCTCTGAGGCTGGAGCGGTCCTGCTGTCCCCTATGTCCCATTCTTCAATTCCCATTCCTAGAGAAAAGGAGGGTCTTGTTAGTCGACAGGGCACAAGGATCAGGCTGGGCCAAGCCATGCCACCATTTACATTCTACTCAGAGCAGGTGGGTGCTCAGGTCCTGCAGAAAACTCAACAGTCAATGACCAGTGACCCAGCAATCCCACTGCTAGGCAGGTATTTACCCATCAGAATGGAGAGCATGGTCTCCAGCAGATACGACACACCGCATTCACAGCAGCGTGACTCACACCAGCCAGGAGGCAGAGGAACCCCATGTCTGCCGATGGATGGATACATAAAGCATGGTGAATACAGATGATGCCACATATCAGCCTTAAAAAGGAAGGACATTCCGGCACATGCTGCAACCTGGACAAACCCTGAGGACGTGATCAGCAAAGCAAGCCAGTGACCAACGATAAATCCTGTAATGATTTCACTTACATGAGGGACTCAGACAAGTCAAACCAACAGGGACAGAAAGGCTCACGGCCTGTAATCCCAGCACTTTGGGAGGCAGAGGCAGGAGTCTGGCTTGAGGCCAAGAGTTTAAGACCAGCCTACGCGAAATAGCAAGACCTTATCTCTATTTCAAACAATGTGAAAGTAAGAAAGTAGAATAGTGGATATCAAGGGCCGTGAAAGCCCCAAGCACAGCGCCTGGCCACCAAGGAGGGGCTTTCTTCCCTGTGCCCGGTGGGGGGATGGGGAGTTAGTGTTTAATGGAGACAGAGCTTTAGTTGGAGAAGATGAGAACGTTCTGGAGAAGGGTGGTGTGATGTCCGTGTAACCGGGGCTGTGCTTAATGCCACTGAAATACTGACTCAAAAATGCTTCAAATGGTCAATTGTATTTTGTATTTATTTTAACACAATAGAAAAATGTTCTTTTAAAAAGATGTGGATGCTTAAATCTAGTCAGTGGAGCAGCTAGACTGGCTCCATCTACAGGCCCTGCGTGTTGGCTGCAGTCTACACAGCACCAACGTGAGAGCAGAGACGGTGGGCACTGGGCACAGCTGTCTGGCCTGCCAACAGTCCTGCAAGGCAGACAGTACTCCTACTTCATAAGTGAGGAGACAGGTGGGTGCGGGGAATCCCAGCACTTCCAGAGGCTGAGTGAGGCAGGAGGATCGCGTGAGACCAGGAGTTCAAGACCAGCCTGGGCAACATAGTGAGACCCCAGCGCTACAAAAAATACAAAAATTAGCTGGATGTGGTAGCACACATCTGTAGTCCCGGCTACTTGGGAGCTGAGGTGAGAGGATCGCTTGAGCCCAGGAGTTTGAGGCTGCAGTGAGCCATGATCGCCACAGCACTAGAGCCTGGTCAACAGAACAAGACCTTGTCTCAATCAATCAGTCAATAAGGCGATAGAGTCTTCGTGACTTGCCTTAGGTCCAAAGTGATGACGCTGGGACCCAAAACCACTTGTTCCACAGCAGAGGCCTCCCATCTCCACCCTGCCATGCTGCCTCCCAGCAGGCCCACTCCAGCTTCCGTGGCAGGTTCGCCCATGCCCGTTCTCCACCTGTATCACCTGGCCAGACTCGTGCATCGTGAGGAGCAGGCTTCAGTGACTCTCCCCACCCCCGTGCCCCTTCCTACCCTGACTCCGGAGGCAATGCTGCCACCTTCTGTGCTGTTTCTGTGCTTTCCAACAGGCCGCGCCACAGCAGCTGGACCTGATGTGTGCACTCACACTCCTGCTCACCTCCTCTCCAGCTGCTCACCTCTGGGTCCTCACAGCAGCTGGACCTGACGCGTGTGCTCACACTCCCCACCTCCTCCGTGTGCTCACACTCCCCACCTCCTCCTCTCCAGCTGCTCACCTCTGGGTCCTCACAGCAGCTGGACCTG